ATTCAGTCTGTCCACCAGAGCCGGAGCTAGACTGTGGAGCAGATCTCAGCCACCATCAATAACAGACACATTTAGTTTGCTTACCTGCTCAAATAATAATGCTAATATAATGCACCGGTTTATTGTAACTATGGAGGTTTGGTCGAAAGTAACTATTGATAGACTAACATATCATTCAGACCGGCTCTATTTAGCCATTCAGCAGCCCGCCCTCTAGATATCAGAACTGGCCAAAAGGCTCATATCAGTGAGCTACTAAAAACAACAGTGGCAAAGGTCACATGACAGTTATAAAAATGCATAAAAGTCATTACAATAAAATAGAGCCCGACCGATATGGGTTTTTTGGGGCCGATATCGATACCGATATTAGGGAGTAAAAAAAAGGCCGATACCGATATATCGGCCGATATTCTTTGTGTATATTATAGTACAGTACCAGTCAAAAGTTTAAATAAGGTTTTTAATTTTCAGCATCCATTATTCCAGTCTTCAGTGTCACATGATCCTTCAGAAATCATTCTAATATGCTGATTTTGTTGCTCAAGACACATTTCTTCTTATTATTTATTAACAGTTGCACTGCTTAATATTTTTGTGGACAATGTGAAAAATTGTCAGCATTTTTTGATTAACAGAAAAATCAAAAGAACAACTATGGTTTATCGTTTAGTTATTTTTAACATTATAACTAGTGTTAATTTTTTAATTATTTAGTATATTCATTTTAGAATTTAGAAAGTATTAATTTTATTATAAAATATATATATTATATATTTTGAAAAAAAAAAATATATATATTCAACAATCTTTAAAACATTTTTTTATTAAAAACATTAAAAAAATACAGATACATTGTCTGACATTTTGTCAAACTTTAGTGGATCATGTTCATCAAAATTATGATTAACTTTACCTGAGGACAACTGACTTCATACATCCACTAAAATAAAAATAAATTAAAAGAAATTTTAAGTTAAAAAAGGCTCCAGCATCACTCCTTTGATATTCTGTTATCTACTGCAGTGACATTCACATATTTTATATTTTAAGTGTGACTCAAGTATCCAAATACATTTTTAGGGCCACTGAATATTACAAGTCACACAATGTGTGACCATGACAGAAACACAAAGCAGAAATCAGTATAACTGCAAGAGGAGCTGCCTGTCTCCTTATTAGAAAGCCAGGCGAGAAAAGATTTAAGCGTAGCTCTGCACTGATCCACTGAGATGCCATGAGTTGAATAAAACACGGAGGTTTCAAATATCCCCATCGGTCAGATCTAATAAATAACAAGAGGTGAAGCTGACAGCAATAAGCCTGTGTGTTTTTAATACAGCTCCAATCAAAGCCAACGCCGCTGCCCTTTAAAAAGCACTGATGAATGACATATGGTATAAACGCTGATATCTCCCATCATATTTTGCCTTGAAGGGCACGAGAACAGACAGAGAGAAAAGGGTGGATGACTTTGGCAAAGATGGGGCATACAAGCAGTGAAAACGGCTTAGGCTAAAGAGAACCAGGAAAAGAGATTCCTGCAACAAATAAGAGAGCAGGTGCTGATGTAGAGAGGCTCGAGTTTGTAAAAATTCATGTTAAATGGCATGAGCCATCGTGGGCCCTTGGGGAAAAGGACTTGGCTTTTTTTTTTCTGGCAACAGAGGTGAGAATAACCATGAATGATTGCTCCGCATTACTGTATGGCGTAGTCAGGAGAGCACAGCTGTCACCAGCTATTAAATCCACTTCTGCACGGACTGGTGCGGAAAAAAGGAGACTCGTTACAATGCTAGATATGCGCATGATAGCCTGTTCTGTCTGAACGAGATGAGAGGAGATGCTCGTGTTTATGGATATGTCCAAATCTTGTCAGACAGCGTTCGCTGCGTTCATCGCGACGGCCGTCTCTTTCAAGTTTCTCATCATTAAAAACTACAATCCCAGAATCACGAGGGCCTTTGTTCTGCGTCCCCCTTCCTGTCTTTCTCCTGTACGATCTTGGCATAATTACCCATGTGCTGCTTGATAACTGCACTGAGCCGGGCTTTTCATGTTGTTGTTCTGCAATTCTAGGATCAATATACAGCGGGCTGCTTCTGCTGTCAATTGAAGAATCGATCCTGGTGAATGATGACAAGGCCGCATTGCCAAAGAAAATCAGATTCCTTTACAGACGATCAAACACTCTTTCAAAACATTTTTCCAGCTTGAGAGAAACCTTTAAAGTGAAAACTGAACTGATGCTTTACAACATTCTACACACAATGGAGTTCTCTTGAAAAACAGCCACAACTCTTTCCAGTTTGGCAGAATTAGTACTGATAACAAACTACACATCATCAACTCGTGCAAACTCATAATACGACACTCATAAAAACTAGTTTCTGCATAAACATCACGAGGTAGGGTTAATATAACGTTGACTAGTTTTGTCATTGGTTTAGTATTTTATTACATTTTCTCTGTAATTTTATTGTTTTTGTTCATATTATGCCACACATTCCATCACTGCCAAACTAAAATTCAGCGTTTTTCAAACTAGGAGGTCTCAAGGGGTGCTGAAATATTTTAGAAAAACAGTGTCAAAAATGTAAAAAATAAAATAAATAATAATAAAATAAATTAATTAAATTATGGTTACAATTAACCAACCGTGATATAATCAGTTTCATTCTGCTTTCAAAGACTTGTTCTGCTTAACAGTAATGGTACTGGGGTCAGTAAGATTTATTTTTGAAAGAAATCAACACTTTTTTTTTTTTTTTCAAAAGTAATAGTAAATAAATAAAATAAATTAAAAGTATTCTATTCTAGTCTATTATCAATGAATCCTCAAAAAATTTATCATTCCTTCCACAAAAATATGAAGCAGCACAAATGTTTTGTTGATAATAATCAGAAATGTTTCTTGAGCAGCAAATCAGCATATTATTATGATTTCTGAAGGATCGTGTGACACTGAAGACTGGAGTAATGATGCTGGAAATCACAGCAATAAATAATATATATTTTAAAAATATATTCAAATAGAAAACTTTTATTTTGAAGTGTAATAATATTTATAATTATAATAATCTGAATGGTCGAGTATACAGAAACAAATGATAGAAACTTGATAGAAGGTAAATATATTCCAAATAATAATTGACACAAAATATTTTTTTTTAACATTGCAAATGGATTTTTATACAAACAAATAAATAAATAATTTAATTAATTAATTTATAAAATATGATTTTCTGTGATTTTTTAATGAATTTATGCTTATAAATGATAGAAAAAATGATAGAAACTTGATAGAAGGTAAATATATTCCAAATAATAATTGACACACAATATTTTTTTTTAACATTGCAAATGGATTTTTATACAAACAAACAAACTAATAAATAATTTAATTAATTAATTTATAAAATATGATTTTCTGTGATTTTTTAATGAATTTATGCTTATACATTTTAGGAGTTTCTGCAAGGAAATCATCATATTTTGAGTTCCAACTGTTGTTTTGAAGACCCCCGTCATAAGTGCCCAATTATTACTCCACATGGCAAACTCGACTCGATTCTGGCACGAACATGTTGCTAACAGCACAATATTATATTAAGCATGAAAACCACAGCACATTAGGCTAAATATTATCTGAGCTTATCACAATGCATTCTAGGGTTTCCTTTACCTCAAACACAAAGGAAACATGCGATGCTCCCTGAGAATTTAAAATGCTGCCTCCCTAGGCAGTTTACTTGGTTTTGTAACAGAGCCTCTATTTATCATTCAAATCTTTGTTCTTAAAGTTTCTACGATACTTTCACTGGTAATTGTTACGGAGCCCCGCACATGGCATGCAGGAAAAAAATAGTAGGCTAAATCGTGTGCACGATTTACTATTTCGTTCCCTCGATTTATAAATTGTGTGCACGATTTACTAATTCGTTCCCTCGATTTGCTAAATCGTGCACACGATTTAGCAAATCGAGAGAACAAATTAGCAAATCAAGGGAACGAAATAGTAATCGTGTGCACGTTTTAGTACATCGAGGGAACGAATAAGTAAATCGTGCACAAAATGTATTTATTTTTCTTGCATGTCATGTGCGGGGCTCTGCAAATTGCTGTTTTTGCTGAAAAGAATAAGTTTCACTTGAGGCCAGGTGTGGATTGTTTTGTTGGCTTTTGAATGCTCCTCTCGTACGTCGTGCTTTGGCATCAATCAACGTCTCCCATCGTTTGTTTGCGTATTAGCGCACGCGGAGCAGGCGTGTCAGTCCGTCACTCTCTCTCAGGAAGGTGGGTTAAGACACTTTGCGGGTGAGGCTGACCGTAGCGTTATGAGAGCGCCTAGCCTGTGATTACAGATGTGCACTCGGAGTGTGATCGGCAGCCAAAACGCTCAGCTGTTTGAAGGACACTGACTCTCTCAGGTAATCACGGTCTCCCTCTGACCCTCCTCTTGCTGTGTGGCATATTTTACATGCCAGAATACCTCAGTCTCCTTAGAGGTCAACTGTCCAATTACAGTCAGAGTTTCACCCCCATCCCCCCAGACGGCCCCCTCCTGTTTCATTCTTCTGCCTGACCTCTCTCTCTGTGACAGGAGACAAATTCAGATGAGCTTATTCAGCTGCTGGGATGAGCGGATATAAGGGTAAATACGGAAGAACGGATGACAGCTCCTCTCTCAAATAAAAACATAGCCTTTCTATCAAGCGTCAGTCTGAGGATTTGATTGGCAGCTGGCTTTTAAAATCGTATCTGCATGTCATCAAGGTGACATGCGCTGCTATGGAGAGCGAAATCTTCATAGAATTATAATATTAAATCATATTCGGGCTGCATAGTTGCTCATGACTATATCAGTCTTTTCATCGGGTCAGCATTTCAGATCATATCGCTCGAGTCAATAATATCATTTAAAATGCATGAGGGTTACAAATACTGCTTATCATTGCATGCATGTTAAATGGAGTAAGATGTGAGATCTGTTCTCAAACCTAGTGAGCTGCCTTGCTGCCTACAGAGCCAGTTGACTTCTAAGGTGGCATCCTGACCGATTTCTGAAAAAAAAAACCCTTGTGAAAAAGAAGTACTCTTTAGCATACTTTTAAAAAGAACACCTACTACAGAAAATAACATACTTCAAAATAATACGTCTAAAGGAAAAACTGAATTGAATGTTGTCAGACACTTGAATGTAATCACAATGAAATGAAGTCTAGTTGAGTGAGCTGTTTTGACCCACTTAAGTAGGATTTATGTACATCTTTATATGTAATTTCATAATTACTTCCATTGTCTTTGAAATATCGTTAAAGTTTACTGCCAAAGGTACTGAAATTTTATCAGCTAACAATATTTGAATTTCTATTGGAACTCATGTGCTTTTACATATATTTGCAATTACACAAGTATAATAAGTGAAAAATTCAAATATTTTACATGTGCTTAACTATGTTATTAAAACAACTGTACTTCTTTAAAGGATTATTAAAACATAATGATTTAAAATGTACTTTAAAGTAAAACTTTTAATTTGACATTATTACAAAGTGCACGTGTGTTAAGTGTACTTAATTGTGTTAAGAAACATCTTCATGAAAGTGTATGCTCTTTAAGGGCACTTAAGTGGCCTTTTACATTATTAACATTATATTATCTTTAAGCACTTTTTTTAAATTTACTTTAAAGATTTGAAGTACACTACAAGTGCACATTTAAACAATTATGTGCTCTTCTTTTTCACAAGGGTTTACACTGAGAAAAAATATTTCTTTTTAGTGAATACTGATGGAGCAACACAATATTAATTAAAAATATAATCGACAAGTGCTACAAGTGCACATTCAATACAATTAAGCACACTTTTTCACAAGGTTACAGAGAAAGCATCCCATTATGACATATTTGGTAACACTCTACTTTGATAGTCCTCTTTAGACACTGTACTAACTATGCTAATCAACTAGCAGGCATTAGAGTATTAGTAGACTGTCTACTTAATATCTCTTAACACTTTATTTTGATGCTCCATCAACAGACATACTACTGACTATAAATAACTTTGCAAGTACTTGTCAACTTATTCTACTAACCCTAATCCTAACAGTCTACTAATACTCTAATGAGAGTTTGTTCACATGTAGTTGCAAAGTTATAGTCAGTAGAATGTTAAAGTGGACTATCGAAATAAAGTGTTACCCTTTTTTTAGATATTTTTTTAGCATTGCATTATGTTCTAAGTTATTTATAATCAATATAACTGAGCTTGTTGCAATATATTCTGAGATTGTCTTTTCAGTGAAGGTTTCATGCAACTCTGCCTTTGTATTTGGCTAAAAGAAATCTTAGGTTGCTTTAAAATGCTGCCTGTGGAGTCAGCTCATTAGGTTTTGGAACGCAGCCGAGAGAGAGAGAAAGAGAAAGAGAGACGCTCACTGGGATTGGGCGGAAAAAGAGTGCAGCTCTTGCAGTGGATGATTTCCTTCATGATGGGCATGTCTTGCGAAACCGGCGGGGGAACAATCCCAAGGCCGGGCATCATGGGGTTCATCGGAGCAATTCCAGTCATCATGCCGAGGCTTGGGTCAAAATCTGCAGGAACAGAAGAGAGGACATCACAAAGGACTGAGTGAATAAAAGCCGCTTCAGTCTGCTACCATTCTGGTGTGGCACAAATGAAAGCAATGAGAGCGAAACGCTCTCCCTCGAAGACAAATAAACACATAAGTCTAATACATATTTAAAAGGCTTTCCGAATGAATAGGTTTTTACTGACTCATTCCTCCAGCTGTTTGCCTTGGCTTGTTACTATGCACAAGCGGTCCATCTGTGGGCAAAAAAAAGTGAACACTGGCTTTCATTTACAGGTATTGGTTTAGACTACAGCTGCATGACAGCATGGAGCTCTTTGAAATGGAAATGACGAAGGCCTCGCTCTCTGCGGTCTCTCCTGCACCTGTGGAGAGTTTATACGTCTGTCTAACCTTACTAAGAGCACTCAACTCACATACTTCACATATTTCCCTTATTTGCAGCCATATAAGATAAACAAGCTCTGTTCTGGCATGGGGAAAAAATAGCAAAGAAAGTTCTGAGGGTAAAGATCTATGAAATGTAAATCGCATTGTAAATAAACGCACCATACTGTAAGTAAATAATGCAATAACACATTTCAGGGTTTATACTAAAGCCTAAAATCTCTCTATACAAATAATAATAATAAAAAAGTTCTAAAATATTGAAATACAACAAAATAAAATGGTTAAGACAATACAAAACAAATTAGCAGAAAATGTGTCAGCTTGAGGGGCAAAATCAGTTCAAAAGTAAATAATGCCTTGAACTAAACTGAAACAAACAAACAAACAAGACAAATTAATAAAAAGTAAAAAAATTATTATATAATTAATACATAATATATAACTAGCTTCATATAGTACAATTTCTATACTACTCTATCTATCTATCTATCTATCTATCAGATAAAAGGACAGAGAAAACTAGAAATCTATTACATCAGACAGCTTAATTTAGTGTTAAAGGGGTCATATGATGCGATTTCAGTTTTTCCTTTCTCTTTGGAGTGTTACAAGCTCTTGGTGCATAAAGAAGATCTGTAAAGTTGCAAAGACTAAAGTCTCAAATCCAAAGAGATATTCTTTATAAAAGTTAAGAGTCAGCCATACCTACCTAAAACGGCTCGTTCTAACACACCCTCACATATCTACATCGCTATGTGGGAAGATTTGCATAACGCCGCCCAAATGTTCACGCAAAGAAAGAAGGCGTAACTTTTATTCTCGCTGTAGTATTGTTGTTGCCGCTGCCGCCGCCATGTCGTGAAGGCGCTGTGTGATTCGTTTTGAAAGCGAAACTACTTTGTTTGGTCTTCCAAAAGAGGACGATATCTGCTTCGTCATGCCTGGAGCTGATCCGTGCTGGTCACTGAGGAAATACTACAACTTTGCGCTGTGAATCGCCGGATCGTCTTTCACCGTGGACGAAGCGGAGTCCAGCCCGGAGTCGTCACATGTCCTTCCGGACACTCCTTTGTCGAAATCGACGGCCACGCCGTTCTCAAGGCCGCCGCCTCTGCTCACTCTAACCCTCCGGCCGTTCCTCACTCTAGCCCCCGGCCTCTGCTCACTCAAGGCCACCGTGTGTGACGCTGTGTTTCGTTGTGAAAGTCCCCACTGGATGCAATGAATGCCTCGTTTATAATGGGTTTTCATGTTTTTCAATCATCGCTCCGGCCTGACAGCGCATCACAGTATGGTGAGGGGCGTAACATTTCCGTCTCACGCTTGAGGTATTCGGCCAATCACAACGCACTGGATAGCTGGCCAATCACAGCACACCTCGCTTTTTTAGAATGATGAGCTTTGTAAAAATCGACGCATTTCAGAAAGGCGTGGCATAGAGGAGAAACAATAATGTACAGTATGTGGAAAATAATGTGTTTTTTTAACCTTAAACCACATAAACACATTTCATTACACCAAATAATGTGCTTTTTAGCAGCATCATATGACCCCTTTAAGAAAATCTATTAGAGGATAGTAATAGACATTGAGATAGGAAAGCCAAATATGAAGAGATGATGGTCTGTGAGAACTGCTGGGCATGAAGCTGTGTCACAGGAGGGTCAGTCTGGAGCATGTAGATAAACTCTGAACTGGCAGACGTGTCAGGAGACAGGTCTCTCTAGAAGAACCAATAATAGAAGTGGGATAGGACGTGCAGCATGTAGAGACAGAGGAGCTGACCGCCACATCGCCTGCCTTAATGACTCTATTAGTATTGATATTTCTGTCTCTCCGCCGCTAATGGAGGCAGAAGATAAAATGGCCCTCAGTGGTATGGATGCCACGGCTTCTGCTGTGTATTCTAGTTCAAGTCTAAATCAGTACCACATAATTAGGGCTTTTCCTGCATGGCCATTTTTTTTCAGCTGCCACAATGCAAAATTGTAGCTTGCCAAAGCAAATTAAACTACATATGAATGAATGAATGAATGAATGACTTTATTGTCATTGTACAGGTACAACGAAATTGAATGCAATCCTTTGGGTGCATAGGGATTATTGAATTAATCAATAATCTAATAAATAGTACACAGATGACAGGATCTATTACACAACATTACATACAAAAGACGTCTCACATTCAGTTCAACAGTACACAAAATGTTCAGTTAAGTTATTGCAGTATTCAAAACCAGATAGTTTAAGCATGTGAACTGTTTGATCTCACATTCAACAGAGCTGCACGACTCATTCAATGTTGCACATAAGTGTAATTGCTCCTCTAGTAGCACATTTAATGTGCTCATAGAATTTAGGGAGCACTACCTTTAAATCTGCATGATTAAAGTCCCCTGTGTAAGGCATTTGCGAACATCACACAAAGGAATGATGGAATCTCCGCATTCCATCAGAAAACTAACCTCCCTTCTCAACTATAATCTGGATTAATTTAAGCTACAGAAAGTCAGTAGGTTTCGTGACTGGCTTCAGAATAAATAAACCATCTAATGGACCACAGAACAATAAATAATATGTTGTATGTCTTATATATATATGCTTGATGTCTTCATGTAATCGGTGCAACTTTAATCAGTGTTTATTACCCTTTTTAGGAAATGAGGTTATTAATATGTGTGTAAGATATGTGAAGTTTAGTATTGAACGTAAACTTGTGATAATTGCAGAATATTGAAATAAGTGAAAAGCTGTTATTTCAAACAGTATGTGTTGTACGACACTATATAGAAGTTATTAACAAAACCTGCAAATCTTCATTTACACAGGACCAGCTGGATGACAACATAACAAGCCTTATGAGACAAGACCCAAGTCAGAGCTACAGTCACAAAGAATTAGCAAAGATCACCGGCTCCTTAAGCCACACACTCATCGCCACCCTCAAGTTGAGCGAGAGGCACGCCGCCCATCTCCAGCAGGAGCTAACACGCACACAGCGATGCGTCGAGCAGCTAGAACTGGAGACTCAGGAACGACAGGAAGGGCCTGATGAAGTGGAACAAGGCGCCGAGGAGGAGATCACTAGAAGTCCAAGAGCCGAGCTAGCATTAGCATCCGGTGGTATATACACAGCAGTTATCAAAACAACAGTGAATTCCCGAGGAAGATATATGGGCCTGCATTTAATAGTCATAAACTCCAAGTCCGGGGAGCAGTGACTGTTTACATTCGTGGTGTTAGTGCACCAATTGTTGTTCACATAAATGCATAACCCCGCTCCTCTGTTCTTACCGGAGTCCCTGGTCCTGTCATATGACCATGGTTTTGTTTTAGTAAGTGTAAATGTTTTATAAACAGAAATGTCACAGATTCATTAGAGGAATAGTACATCAAAAAATGCTAATTTGCTGAACATTTACTCACATTTACATTGGAGTTTGTGTCATAGGGTATGTTTAGTTTACACAACAACAGTCATACTAAAAATGGAACTTTTTCCTTTGTGTTCTTGAAAAGTTTTGTGTACAGACAACAGCGAAGTCAAACGATCCCCAGGGGATCCATCAGTAGACGGCAATGTCACTTTATAAAGAAACAATACACGCCTGCACACATACACATTCCTACAGACTGAACACGGCATTTTTGCAAATGTCTGTTTTTGTACTTTATACAGAGACGATGATGATATTGTTTTCATGAACTTGCATTCTGAAACCCGTTTTCAAAAGTTAGCATTTTCAGGCTCCCATAATGCTGTTGATGTGTAAATGAATGAGCAAAATGCAGTAAAACCTTCTTAATTGCATCAGATTAGGAAAAATGGATCCTCTGCAGTGAATGGGTGCCGTCAGAATGAGAGTCCGAACAGCTGATAAAAACATCACAATAATCCACAAGTAATCCACACCACTCCAGTCCATCAGTTAACATCTTGAGAAGCTAAAAGCTGCATGTTTGTAAGAAACAAATCCATCAGTTGTTTCAACTCTATTCCATCACTTCAAAATACCAGTCCATGATCCATAATAATGCCTCCGCCAGCAAAAAGTTCATCATCTGTTGTCTCTCACATCAAAATCCATTTGGAAGCAATGGTTACAAACACAAATGTTAATTGATGGACTGGAGTGGTGCGGATTACTTGTGGATTATTGTGGTGTTTTTATCAGCTGTTTGGACTCTCATTCTGACGGCACCCATTCACTGCAGAGCATCCATTGCTGAGACAGTGATGCAATGCTACATTTCTCCAAATCTGATGGAGAAACAAACTCATCTACATCTTGGATGGCCTGAGGGTGACTACATTTTCAACATTTTTTTATTTATTTTTATTTTTGGGTGAACCATTCCTTTCAATAATCAATTAGGAACAAGAAAGTCAACTGCATTTTTATCACAACTGTTGTTCTCAGATATTATGAAAAACAGGCTTGTTTGCTTTCAGATATTACAAGATATGAGTTAAATCATTAAGAGAGTCTGATGAAAGGAAAACAATATCTGTGAAAGAGCAGGAAACAAACATTCTCATTAGAAACACATTCCCGGCTCAGTAGTGGTCTACTCAGTCAGAATATTATAACCAGCTCTATATAAATAAGG